CTAGTGGGTCAAATTGGTATGCGTCGAGAGTATCGACACCTCCCCTCAATTTGATATCACGGTGAACCTTCTATGGGTCCGATACCCATGTTGGCGACGCACGACCGGTGTTTGTTCGAAAACAATGGTTTGGTTAGAACGTCGGCCGGCATCTCGCTGGTCGGTAGATATTTGATGTCTACGTCTCTGCGTTCGAGAGCCTCCCGGATGAAGTGATGTCGTATCCCGATGTGTTTAGTTCGTGAGTGAAAGATCGGGTTTCTGGCAAGTTTCTGGGCGCTCTGATTGTCGTTGTATATCGTTATGGGATGATCTGATCTTGAGTGAACGTTGCAGAGAAGGTTTTTAAGGTGGATTGCTTCCTTTGCTGCTTCGGTTAGTCCGATGTATTCGGCTTCAGTTGAGCTGAGTGCGACGGTACGTTGTTTTCGTGATTCCCAACTCACTACTGCGCCTGCAAGCATGAACATATAGCCTGTGTAGCTCCGTCGATCATTCGGACATGCTCCCCAATCGGCATCCACATAGCCTTCGAGTGGTTTACCTGTTTTTTTGAATGTGATTCCGTAGTCGGCAGTGCATTTGAGGTAGCGAAGCACTCGTTTTGCTGCTTGCCAGTGGGTATGGTTGTAGCAAGTGTTGAATTGGCTCAACATGCTGACAGTGTAGGCAATGTCAGGGCGAGTACCGACGGCGAGATAACAAAAGGTTTTATGACCCTTTGTCTCAACTTGTTCCTTTGTTCGGACTACTGTCTGTCGACACGTGCGGACGTTCGTCCTACTGCTATGTAAAGACTCTTGTACTATAATTCATAGATTAAAGGAAGATATCTTAACCAGTTTAATATGTTTCATCTGAGTGTCTCTCTGCTGATACCGAATTAACCACAGTTTTATTGTTAAAATATTATTTTGAGTTGTGTTTTAATTTACTCGGATATTAGAACAAATTGTAAAAATTATTATTGCAAATTAATTTTATATGAAAAAATGAATTGAACTGAGAAGTTTTCTAAATACTAAAGTTATTATTGCTGATCATTTGATCTGAAATTATTATGTCTGAAATGATTATTGTTCCAAGATATTTTATAAAAACTAAAATGAAATAAAAAGTTTTCTAAATATTTATAATCTTAATTTAATCGAGAAATTTTTGATCTGAAAATAATTTATATCCTGAAAAATTATTAGGTGCAGAAATTTCTTGCTTTAGATAAACTGAAGGAAAAAGTGGAAACACTTAAATAAACTGTAACGTAAAAATAAAAACCTTTCAAAATAATTTCAGTGTTATATTATTTCAAATTGTCATGTATCAGAATATTAAGACAAATATTCACCAAGAAAATAATTAATTCTAGTATTGATGATAAAAATTTAAAAAAAATTCGTTTTGGTGTTATACTATTTCATACAATTATCGAAATTTATTCGATAGTAATTTCTTAAAAAAGTTTATTTTGTGATCTGAAATAATTCCATTCAAGAAATTTTTATTTGCAATTTTAATTTATTCGATAGTAATTTACTCAAAAAATTAATTTTGTGATCAGTATGGCCCAAACCACTACTACTTACAGTAAAATCCATGAAAGATGTTCTTGCCTAATATGTTAGAATGTATATGGGGACACGACTTAGTTCAACCCTTTAACGCTTAATAATAATTAACTCCTGTGTTAAACCAATCCGACTCCGATTCTGACCACTCTGACCACAGAAATTATTAAGCTTCAAACAGGGTGGACAAAATCATGCCACTTCCACACAGTCTCTAACATTCACACATATAGAAAATACCTTGAATCTTTTTTATATCTCGAAATTTCAAGGTGTCCTAAGTCCAAAAATGTAAAAATTTGGAAGGGATCATTTTTTGAGCGAGCGCTACACTTTTCCTCTGTTGTATATAACAGCAGGAAAAGTAAAAATTATCGAATACATATTTATATACTGTATTACTGTTTTTTTAGCTTTGGAATAAAAAGTTTCTTCTCTCTATCTTTATTAGAACTTTATTTATTGAATCTTTTATTCTAAGGTCACATGATGACATCAGAATTTTCGGGTTTCTTTCGGTAACAAGTCCGTCCCTGGTCGGAGTTGGACTCGGTAGATTTTTACGCGACTCCACAGCCCTGTATAATACAGTACTCCACGAAAGTAGAGAACCGCTGCAAATTTACTATATGAAGGTTAGAAATTACACATATGATGTAGCTATTTGACGACGCTCTACTGTATTATGTTTTCATAAATACTGAACAATACAGTATGTCAAAATTCATTGTTTCCTATATCGCAGCAAACAACAAATTGTAAGAAAAACTAATTTTAAACACTACGAAACTAAATCTTTTGTAGTGTTTAAAATCGACTAGTAAATGAATGTAAAAAGAATTATATACTACAAAATAGTTTAATTTACATGTTAGTAATTTATTTGCGCACCTTCTTTACTGATAACATTGAAAATGGAATTTGGCACGGTATCAACAAGGTTTTTTTATGATCGATGCCTCAAGAGAGTTCCAAGCAGTGACAATTGCTTGGACATTGTTTTAAGTGTTCAATGTCGGTATACAATTTAATTATTTCACCTTATTCCATCGAGCGGCCATATTTTTCCTAGCAAAATTGAATTGGGCAGCTTTGTTACTCAACACTTCCATGTTAACATTTCCATTCTTAATACTTTCATTGTTAACACTTCCACTGTTAACACTTCTATTGTTAACACTTCCATTGTTGACACTTCCATTGTTGACACTTCCATTGTTGACACTTCCATTGTTACACATCTTCGAAGTCAACCACTTTCAAGCCCATATCTCCCGCACCCTTATAGCTATCGAGACGCAACTCCCATAGTGCACGAATGGAGACTTGGGGCTACTACCACATACAAACACCATTCACGTGCGATGTGTAGTTTTGGCGGAAAAGTGAAATATAGGGTCACACACGTCCATTTATACTGTAAGGTCTCGTTTTATGCGGTGAATACGTTCTACAGAAAAGCGCATATAAAAAATTCGCATANTGTAAATCTTCGGATTTACCAACATGAGTTGGTAAATGTAAGGATTTTTATAAAGTGAGATGATTTTCCGGGCTTTTACCATTAGAATTTGGTACATGCTAGGTTTTACTAAAGACAATTAGTAAATGTTGCTTTTGAAAATAAAACAATGAGTATTTTATTAATCTTTTATTGCAATTATTATAAACTTACTAAGTCCTATTTATTAACAACTAGTGAAACAGTTTAAAAATACTTTTCTAACATAACAAAAATTAAATTATCTTGTAAAAAATAATATAATAGCCTATCCGGCTAAGCTAATCAGTAATCACAGTATTTTTTCTAATCATTTGGTATTCATTGTCATTTAATTAAAGTAAAAAAAGATTTTACTTATTACAACATGGAGAGCTATCATGGTATTTAGAATTACAAAGTAATCCTGATGACTTGCAAGCGCACTTCTTCGTTAGGCATTTTTTTAAGCAGTTGCACTTCTTGAAACCTTGTCCTCCGGTCAAAGACAATTTTGCGACAACTTCTCGAAGACTCACTTCTTTACCTTTAACAACTTCTTCTATCTTGATAAAGTCTTCAGGGCATGAAGTAAATTGATTTTGTGTATAAAGCTGCTTTAGTACTCCAATTTTGGTACCTAGTTGGTAAAACTCGTTGTCCTTTACATCTACTACAACTGCAATAACGCTTTTCGGGTCGGTTTTAGCTTTGTCAATTTCAGGCACTTTCAGTCTTACATTTTGGCCAATTTTCACATTTGGATATTTATCAACAGACGTGGCTTTCATTTTTTCAGCTTGTTTTTCCAAATTCAATTTTGCGTTGTTTCTTATAGTCACTACAGATTCTATCTTTTTTGGTATTGGCTCTATAGTTACAAGAACTTCCTGAGACTCAATCGTGTTTTCTGTCTCTGAATCGGTATCTCTCTGAATCGTTACATTGGAATCATCGGTTATTTGCTTCGCCTTCATCTTCTCAGTAATAATCATTTCATCTTCTTGTGTTTTATCGTTGACAGTGCTATTGTCTATATCCCCTTCTGACTCATTTTCAACAATGCTTTCTTCCTTGTCCTGTTCGATTGCATTTTCGACGTCATTATTTTGTTCCATATTGTCATGCGAATGCAACAACTTCTCTAAATCTTCTTCAGATCTTATAACTCTAATCATATCACTAGGGATTGCTGAAGTTGCAAGGCCCATTTTCATTGGACAACCAAACATTGCTTCGTAGGGGGAACATTTGATTCCCTCGTGATATGCTCTATTTTTCATTGCCTGGATGAATCTTAAACCCTCTGACCACTTTGATAACTGATTGGTTTCCATCCACGTGCTCAACATATTTTCTATGTCTTGATTAGCACGCTCCACTGATCCTTGACTTTGGCTATGTCTTGCCTTTCCATGTACGATTTTTACATCCGGCCACATGGAGCATAAACTCTCAATAACTTAGTTAGAGAATTCTCGACCATTATCGGAATGAAGGATGCTCGGCGCTCCAAAAGTGGTGAAAATATCCAAAAGATGGTATTCAACTTCTACGGCGCGTTTAGTTTGAAGCGTACGAAGGATCACAAATTTGGTAAGATGGTCTTGGTAAACTAAAATAAATTTATAATTTCCATTTGGGCTGGTTTGTAGATCTATTAGATCAACCTGACAGCGTGAGTTCATTTCACTGTGAAGTATAGGTCTGACGACAATGCCCTTTTTCAAAGTCTTCTGTTTCTTTTGGCAAGGTTGACATAGCTTCAAATATGTCATAGTAGCCTCATAGTAGCCTCAACTGTTACATTTTTATACTTGCGGTTACATTCCTTAAATATCCGTGTCCTTCCACCGTGGCCAACAGCAACATGTGTTTCTTCGAGAATATTGAATAAGTCCTCGTAACAAATGTAATACCTTATTTCTCCATCCTCCTCCTTCATAGGTGCAATTAGTTTTTCTTCGCCGCCTATAGTCAAAATGTCGTAACGCTTTATACGCCTGTAATGAACAGCTTGTTTCTTTTTCATGTTCTTTGCAGCTTTTACTTCCTCCAAACACTTTGCGTATTTGTCCCTATTAAGATAAAAGTTCTTTCTTGCTTGCAACGAACTCGTCCATTATTTCATAAAATCTCCGTTTCATACTCATCTTGATTCATAAATAACTTTTAGACAACAAAATCTCAAAGAAGATTAGAATTAACGTGCGTGTTCTAACGTGTCAAACGATGGAATGAGGCGAGCGAAGGCGACAACGCGGAGTGGTGCGGAAAGCGGGGAATATTTTTTCAACATTTACCATGTCTCTGAGGTAAAACCTAAGATATACCGAGTAAATGCTGGTAAAAGTTCGAAATTATCGATGATCGCAGAACATTTCGGACTTTTACCACAAAGATTTGGTAAATCTTAGGTTTTACTGGAAAATCTTAGGATTCACTATAGTTCGAGCATTTACAGTAACATAGATATAGAATATAGATATAGATAAGCTTATATTATAGATTCTATAATATAAGTGAAAATAGAAAAATTTAGTAAGAATTAGATTTTTTTAACTTTGTTTTTGTTTAAAGATGGACGATTTTATGAAAAGATATGGAAAAACTCCTCTGGGATTGTCTGTAGGAGAATTCTTTTCTGTAAAACGAGACTTTTTTATAAAAGTGAGTATACTAATTTAGCATTTCTATAGAAGAGAACAATTAATTTACAAGTTTACAACTTTAGGTCGTAAGTGGATTACATTCTGTATTTTCTACTTGCCTTGAATTAACTGGAGTACTTGAGGAAGAAAAAAAATGCTACCCCTCTCCATCAAATAAGACAATACAAACAAACGGAACCATCAACTAAATAATTAATCGTTTAAATTCATCTAGAAAGAGATAAGAAAAGTGTAAAAAAATTAAGCAGATGATTTATATATAACATGTAAAAGAAAATAGAAATAGAGTTACACCTCACTTAATAATCTACCTGTTTAATCTCGATCCCATAATTAATCAACATTCACTACTGGAAGCATTAGCAATGTCTAAGATTACATATTTCGTTTATAAAATTGACTAGCCTCAAAAATATCATTACGAAAGTTATCTCAAGACTTTTTCGACAGAGTCATGAAAGAATTTCTCTAAAAGTTTTTAAGACAATATGAAGTACCACATTAATTTTAAAAAATCCATACTTAAGCTTCATCAAGACACTAAAAAAGCTTTAAAAAATAATCTCATGACTTAATGAAAACCAATCAACTATGGTATACGTACATCAACAACCATGTGCCTCCTATTGCTAATATTATTTAACATATATATGTTCATTTAGATGAAATAATGAAAAAAATAGAAAACAAATATTTTTGAGGCTTTAATATTAGGTTCAACATTACTGCAAGCACACTGCTCTTTGTCAATCACCAAGACATAATTGAAAAAAGTGAAATGAAATTTCTCCGAAAGACTGAAGGATACAACTCAATTGTCGAAATTAATAATAAAATTAGAACCTAAAAGTAAATTCACTAATCCATACTACAGATAGCTACAAACAAAAACGACGAACATATACAAAGAATAAACTGAGAGCTAATCCCAAAAGAATACTAATTTACAACTAAAGGAGGAAGTCGAAACAATGGACATCAATGGAAAAGAATGACATCGAATCCGAAACGGGCTACTTGGCCTATAACCTTGAAAGGATGAAGAATAAGAGCAACTTTACGAATTAATATATTTTTGAACATATCAAACGTTTCACAATGACAAGCACTCCACTTGCACTAGAAGTAAATTTATAGATGGCCCACCAGTGGCCAAGCGGTCTTCGTACCCTGAACACTGGGAGTTCGGTAGTGGGTTTGCACCTCGCTCGGACGGGCTGGCCACGTGGAGTTTTCCGGGTTTTCTCCACGTCAGTAAGGCCTAAATAGGGGCCAGTTTCCCTTAAAAGACCTCCCGGAAGGCATTCCCCCTAGGCAGATCGCCCATGTGTTGCGTTGCCATAACTTAACAAACAAACTAGAAATTTATAGAGGTATGCGGAATATCTCTAATTACTACAACAATCTTTTCTACAACAATAAGAATGAAACCAATGTTAACTATAGTCTAAATACAGAAAAATAGTTTCGTATTTATTACAAACATAATATACATAAAGAATGTAAACATATTATAAAATTAAGATATCTTATGTTTAACCCCCTTTAAATAAAAATAACCCTAACAAATTTCAAAAATTCTTGATGTATCCAGCTCTTAGATATAATGGAAAATAAACGCCAATTGACAAGATTGTTATATAATCGTGTACAGTCGACCCCCTTATAATTACGGTCCCTATAATTACGATTCCTGTAAAACTACGAAAAAATTGTGACCGGTATCCGTAAAAAACAGTAAATAACCCCCTATATCTTATAGGGGTTTTTTTACTGTTTTTTTACTGTTTCCAAAGAATGGAACGTATCTATATCTTATAGGGGGGTCGACTGTATAATATAACATACATAATTTAATGAAAATATGAATTTGGATAGACATAAAGTGTTCTAATTCCAGTGTAGTAAGATTCGCTATGTTAAGTCATTTGTTCGTTCATTTTCACGCTTACTTGACGGCTTGCCTCTACCAAATCTTTCGATAAATTAATGTATTGTTATAACATTATTGTATTATTGAGAAAAATAATGCATAACAATTAACAAATGAAAATGGATAAGATATTAAACGTTATGAAAACTTTACTTAAGTTACGTATTCCATATCTTTCAAAGGAAAATAAATGTAATTCCATCAAGCATAACGAAGAAGCCGAATTTCGTATGGCGATTTATTTGAAACAATTCAAAAAATGGACACCTAACACCGGTAATACATATTTTGATTATCAAGAAAGAAGAAAGACCATTCGAAATTTAGCCAAAATTTGTTTTAAGTGGAACATACAAGAGAAGAATACAATATTGGAATTATTACATCAATTACTCAAGCATGATACGTATGTTTATCATCTTTTTATTAATCTTCCCAGTGTTTTACGGTTTAAAAACGATCCGAATGAAAATGAAAAGTATGCACACCTCAATTATTTCTTGTTGCAAACTAATAGATTACGGGTCATTTTTGGAGATGAAAATCTTCGATTTGTCGAAACAGCATTCTACATTAGATACCGTTCACAAAGTCCTAAACTCTGTCTTGGAGCAATTCTTAACTGTCATCCAACCTTTCTCCTTCTTTTATTGCAACACGGGGCATTAATTAAATGGATTCATGATATAAGAGAGTGTAATACAAATCGTAACGATTACAAATATCTAATTTATTTAATACTTTTATTATGGAGAGAAAAAAAATTTAGGTACGATAATATAGAATTGGTGAATGTGATAAGCACATCGGATCCCGTACCTGAACTCATTTCGAATGCCAATTTGTTACTAAGAGAGGTGCCAAAATTGAAGAATGTGTGCAAATTATATGATATGAAAGAATATACCTATAATTTTCGATATGAAGTATTAATAGTGCCACATATTGTAGATAGTTTTCATAAATTATTACCATCGTTAATAGAAAGGTACTTGAAGCCTGCTAAATTACAGCATTTATGTCGATGCGTTATCAGATATTGTCTTTGGTTGAATTGGAAATTGCCACAAGGAATCGAATTATTACCCTTGCCAATATTTTTAAAGAATTACATCAATTTATTAATTGATTAATAACGTGTTTATATTGCAAATTTATTTGTTTAATTTCTCTAACTTGCAAGACACAGTGCAAATTTCCAAAATTTTATTTCGTCATATTGTACAAGTTAAATTTCCACAATAAAGATACCACTTTTTAACGAGTTTTATTCCTTCTTTTTTCCTTTTACCGACCATTTAATTTTATAGTTTTAATTGCATTTTATTGCTTATTCATAACAATTACAATGAGAACAAAAGGCAAAATAAAAGTGTCTTAGAAATCAATATAAATTAAGACCAATTGTAATCTCGATTAAAGAGATACAGAAAAAGATTTAGGATAGAACTAGGTTTACACCGATATTAAGTATTAAGTTTATATCTTTCTATCGTAGTGTATCGTATAAATTGTTGTAGGGTATAGACAAGGAAGAACCACTGTTATTCGAAAGTGATATAGTTTAAGCTAATAAATTAATAAAAGAGAGAAAAAATTAGATCGGGGTTGGGGATATACAATAGGAAGTAAAGGATTGAAGTTTAGCAGAGAGAAAACTGAGTTCTTAGAATAGCGAAGACTTCTTCGTATGCAAAATAATTTTATAAACAAATAGATGGAATATCTATGGAATCAGTTATGGGATCGAAATTAGCAGAAATCTATACGTTACAAATTGATTGAAAGCCACCACTTCTCCCTGGTTCCCGACATTATTATAATACTAATTTTAAAATTGATAAAAACAATATAAAATGTCGCAGTCGTAGTCTTATACTGACTCCTTTTTCTATTTTCCGTCTGTGGCTATCATAGGGTGGATTGAGTAGCTTCGTGATACCGCTTTCGGTCCCAAGCCCGGATAAAAGAGGAGGAATGGCATCAGGCCAAAAAACCCAGTGCCATAACTAGCCATTCCTGTGCTCTGTGCAATAATTTGCAATTAGGCCCCTTAATTAATTAGATTTGGAAAAATAATAAAACAAATACATGCATTTTGGGCTCCCCTTCCAAGTGGGCCCTGTGCGGGCGCACCTGTTGCACCTGCCTAGTTATGGCACTGATAAAACCTATGTCAAAATTACATAGAATGTCTGCTAGGCTACAACTTTGTTAGGGTGTCACCCGCACGCGACTCATTTGACCCGAAAACTATGTCAAATGAGCTTGGGCTATCGAACCAAGGACGGGTTCGGCTAAACAAGTTAGTCCAGAAAGAGAGGAGCAAGAATAAGACAAGTATAAGAATAGGTACTTTAAACATCGGAACATTGAATGGGAAGAGTAGAGAGTTGGTTGACCTAATTCAAAAAAGGGAAATGAACATTCTGTGCCTGCAAGAGACAAGATGAAAAAGAAATAAAGCTAAAGAACTTAGGGAAGGGTACAAACTGTTTGTGATTGGAGCGAATGAGGGAAGAAGGAATGGAGTTAACTTCGTAGTTAATAAAGTCCTAAAAGACAGAATCTGTGAGGTTAAACGAAAGTGTGATGGAATTATGAGCATTAAGTTAGACGTTGGTGGAATTTTCATTACGATTGTGTGTGTACACTCCTTTCCTCCACTACCTCAACCAGGTAGTGGAGAAGAAGAGAAGGCAAACTTTTGGGCAGATCTTGGCTATGTTATAATGAGTGTTCCTGTGAACGAGGTTAATCTGTGGGGGTGATTTAAATGGTGATGTTGGGAAGAGGAAGAACGCGAAAAAAGAGGAGTGTAGGAGAAAGAGTGGATCATGCTTGGGCTTTTGACATTGCGATAGTTAACACCTATTTTGAGAAGAAAGTAAATCAGCTGGTTACATACATGAGTGGCGGTAGATGCATCCAGATTGATTTTTTTCTTGTGCCGCGGGAGGCATCTGAATGATGTGAGAAACAGTAAGGTGTTAAATGGAGAAAGTATTGCTGCAAAACAGAGTTCTTCTGGTGGATTGTGACTTTCTTATTGGCCATTGTATGAACTGTGTTAGCCAGATTGAACAAATGATTAAATGGTGGAGATTGAAGGAGGAGGAATTTACAAAACAGTTTAAGGCAGGACTGTGGAGTCGGAGTAGGAGTCGTGGAGTTTTGGTGTTTTAGCTGTCGGAATCGTCAAAAAATCCGCCGACTCCGACTCCTTTTTACATATCAACTTGTTATGTATATAAAACAGAAAAGTATTGGAATCGTATCAAATTTGACTCTCCAAGTTTTTTTTTTGCAAATCTACACGTTTGGAGACCTCCCGAACCCCTCAAAAAAGTCATTAAAGGGGAAAAATTCGCGCGCACGTGTGTGTTGGCGTCTAATTTGTTTAATTTATTTTCTGTTCTGAGATATTAAACAATATCTCAGAATGGGTAAAGTTTAAGAAACGAAATGTGGCACTGTAGCTTGCATATAAAGGGGCATTAATACTATTAAATTTTTGTTCTTAATTAAAGGTCGACAGGGTGAAGACATAAAAGTGGTCGAGTGTCATANGGGCAAGGGTGATGCTGATCCCCAGTAGGGGAAATGATGATTAACAAATGAAAAAAAAAGAAAAATGTAGCTTGCATATAAAGGGGCATTAATACTATTAAATTTTTGTTCTTAATTAAAGGTCGACAGGGTGAAGACATAAAAGTGGTCGAGTGTCATATTTCTTAATTAAATTAATGAATATTTCACTCGTTATTAGCGTTCGAAATTTAAAAAAATAAAATAAAACTCGTCTCTACCCTCAAAGTAAGCTTTATTTGCCATTTCATTATAGTACAGTAAAACCCATTAAGACGTTCTCGCTTAAGATGTTAGAATGTATATGGGAACACGATTTAGTTCGATCACTTTGACGCTTAATAACTAACTCCTGTGTTAGTTATTCGACTCCGACTCCGACCACTCCATCCGACTCCATCCGACTCCGATTCCGACCACTCTGACCACAGACATTATTAGGCTTCAAACAGGGTGAACAAAATCATGCCCCCCCCACACACAGTCTAACATCCACACATATAGAAAAAAACCTGCGAATCTTTTGCATATCTCGAAATTTCAAGGTGTCCTGGATCCAAAAATGTAAAAATTCGGGAGGGGTCATTTTTTGACCGAGCGCTACACTTTTCCTCTGTTATATATAACAGCCGGAAAAATAATATTTATATACAGTAGACCCCCTATAACGCTTAGATACGTTCCACTTTATAAGAATTTTACGTTGTAGGAATCCTTAAATACATGAGCCAATCACAGCCCGACACGTGTGAAGTTTACGGACTAAGGCTGTTTGAAAGGTTTTCTTCTATAAAATTAACCGATTCTAGACTAATTCGACTCAACATTTCCAAAACACGTATAATTTTTTGGGANAGTCGGAGTCGGAGTCGGTACGCGACTCCACAGCCCTGGTTTAAGGTAAAAATGTTTAAAAGATATTCAGTTTCCGGATGATGTGCAAACATGGTGGCTGCTGAACAGTGTGTGAGGGTCGGACCGAAAAAAATAAAATTAAATAAAGAAGCTCAAATTAGATTAAATATCTTTATTAAAATTAAACAAAGAAAAGATCCATTTTTCGAAATTTTATGAAAAAGGATATACACATTTCCTTCCCACGGAGCCATTTCCTATCTCTCAGGAACCTGAAAAATGATTCATGAGGAACTTATCCTAAAAATCGGCGATTGGCGAAAACCAGTAACGTGACGAAAGGTATAAAAGAGGGGCGACAACGAGAAAAAAAGGGTCCGTCGTCGCCGTCCGTGAACACGGTCCGTCATCACCGTTCATGATCGCCGAAAACCCGTGCCAACGTCTTACCGATGACTCCTCTCACCTCCTCCACTCGACCTGAGAAAAGAATCCCGACTTTCCGGGATAGAAAAAAACATAAACAAGCCATCCACTGACCAGTGGGCAGTTCTCACCAAACTGTTGCCTATCAAAAAGAGGTACGACTTCGTCCTACCTCAGGCTACCCACGAGTGCATTTTGAAAGTTAGAGAAGAGGTTTTGGGATTAAACTTCAGAGAAGTACTGTATGTGAGATAAGCAGGGGGTCGGGGGTTATTCCCTTCTGATCACTTAATCTGGTAAAATCCGATCTCGCGGTCGTTGAATGGATAGGAGGGCAAATCGAGTGGGGAGTGCGTTGATAGGTCGGCAGGAGTCCGTAGACAAACAAAAGACAGGGTTTAACATAACAAATAAAATAAATTTATTATAAAACTAAAGCAGTTTTATACATGAATAAATGCGGTTACGAATGCGAACAAATAATCTTTAACTAAACGCGTGCTTGACCTAATTTCCCTGTTCTAAGTTTTTCTGCGGAGAGAGTTTACAAGTTTAGCCCCCTTTTTAAATACCTCTTAGGCGTATTGGAGAGTCGATATGGACGGTGCGTTTCCAACCTGTGTCTTCTCCTCTTCTTGGGTCCTGTCCGAGTATGGAGGTCCGGGAGATGAAATACACACAACTACCAAATTAATGTCCTTATTAATCGTTCTCGCACTCTCCTCGTGCTCGTATCATTCTTGTATGACACAATTCAATATTACATACAAAGTTATTTTTACAAGAAAATGGAGAATTTTTTTATTTTATACCCTGATAAAATTTTGTACCAAAATTACTTACAGAAATTAAAACTTTTATAAAATATTTTAAGAATTTATGAACATGAAATTTCTTTATCTACAGATTTAACACTTTTTAAAGTAAAAAAGAAAAACTTTATTATACCCTTTTCAGAACGAATTAAAATTATTTATATTCATTATTTATTTGTCAATTGCTATGGTAAAAAATAAATACAGTCGAACCTCGATATATCGCCACATTTGTTTGTTTCCGAACTCCCACTAAATTCAATGTGGCACTAAATCGAATGATTTCGTATTTTCTTATTAATGCTTATTAATTTGCCTATTTTGAACTTTTAAATGCCTATTTATAAGTTTCTGGATGTCCTAATTTGCTTTAAAACAAAAACAAACGAATTTCGACTAAGAAATAAAAAAGTCAGGATAGAAGGGAACTTCAATCAATATATTTTCTATATTAAAAGAATTTTGCATTACATATAATTCAAATTACAATCGTTGAAATAATGTAATTGAAAGTAATTTAATCAATTAATAATGGGTATAACAATCCCATTAAAAGTAATGTAGCTTTTTCAGCAATAAGTCCATTTCCGGATTCAGCTGTAATGAAAATTTATTAACATATAAATGTCAGTAACGAAATAAATGTAAATCATTTTACTTACTTGCAACATTCATTTCGTCATATCCTTTAGCGTGGATACAATTAATTATTTCTTTAGGTACACTTTTGTCTTCTTTATCTATAAACGAAATTTGTGCAATTTTCCTTTCATATATATAGGACTATATAACTTATTCATAACTGATGCTTACCACAAAATCCCTCTTTACAAGGATAACCAGTTGGACAATCGCCACATGCGTACCCTATTAAGTATGGTCTCTTATTCACATCAATACTAAATAAAAAGAAAAAAATAAATATTCATATACACGTAAATATGTAAAAAAAAATCAGTTAATTTATTATTCTTCAAAATCTATGAAATATTGTAGACTATATTAAAAAATTTTATCCAGGGGTTGTCTACAAAACGATGTTCCTGTGTTTGACATTGGTAAATTTAAATCATTTGAGATAAAAATACTCTGCAAAATGCGCAAGAAAAGTAATTTATTCCACATTTTTTAAGTCAGATGTATTAGCAGGGGTGGCCCAACTTAATCAACTCCACCGCCAAATTTGATATGTCCGGTGCATTTATTTCTTTAAACTTTTAAATCCTTAAAGACTAAAATAAATTGTTGTATTGATAAAATGCTTTTTAGATTGTTTTTATCTGATATAGAATAGAAGTTATTGCAAATAATAGAAGTCTTTATAGATTTAACTCTTGCATGCTATTAAATAAACTTTTTACTTCTTCATATTAATTTTCAGATAGAGTTATATCGAATATTTGAAGTGTAGCATACACGAGCGCATGAGGATATTGTCTATAACATTAACAATTAAAAAACACGCTGCGAATACTCTAGCCTATTTTCATATCAGACTTGTGTTTTTTATCCATACGCAGTAACATCTGAAACATCAGCACATTTCCACATTAAAAAGTCTCTACCTGCGATCGGTAAAGGATGGGAAAAACCATGCTTTGATTCATACCGCCCACGATGAATTATGTTCATCTATTTTGGGTTAGACTTCCTACCTCCTCCATGATCTTATAGTAACATTCCTTCACAATTTCGTATGACTGCATACAATAGTTTTAATAAATTTGATGAATCTCGATGAAATAATGAAATAGAATTAATACAATATATAAAATTCATGTGTTTGAACTTACGGAGGATAAATGTTGCATATCATGAAATGGCCCGAACCGAGATTTTCGCAACTCGATTTTGAACAACCAATTGCGTAACTTTCGGCCCACATAATCTATTAAATTTTAAATTAAATCTATTATTAAAATTTGATCTTATCAAATTCAACTTTGTCGATTTTAAACTCCTAAAACTTACATTTTTGTATGAATCACAAATACCATTACAAGTATTGGTTTCATAGGTGTAATTAGCCCTAGCCCATTCGTTTATTAGGTGTATTTCATCAAAGGATTTGTTGATTGAACCTCTATTTTGACTGAATTTTTTCTCACAACCAGGAGGACCAAATTCCCTTTTACATTGATCGCCCCAATCCTTAGCGAGTTTTGCTAATTTGTCACTCCATTCCTATAAAGATATTATAAAATTACTTTATTACAAAATTGCTCTTTTATATCTACATTAAAGTTTCATTTTACATTAAATTCAATCAAATATTTTATATTCTTCAAATTATTATTATACAAAGCAATACAACATCAAAAAATTAAACCACCAGAAAATTGTTAAGTCAAATTATGGATAATGGCACATTTTTTTTACTACCCACCAGCGGCTCAGTAGATAAAGACCACTGTGCCACAAGTGCTCAGTCTAAAATGCTACAAAATAAATAAAATTTTGCAAGGAGATTTATTTATTATGGGCATTGACTCCATTAAATTTTGGTGGTTAAAGGTCAAAGTGGTGTAGAGATATAGGGAGATCAGTTGTCATATCTCGAATTACAATTTTTTTTTAATCCTGCTCGTATTACGTATAACCTTATATAGATTATATATTTATTTTAATTTGTAAATATTTTCAAAATTTCATTTATATTCGCATAAATTAACTTACCACTTTCACTTTATTTGATACAATTTGAATATGAAGTCGTCCCTTAAGAGAATTTACTTCTGCTACAATTTTGTCTTCTTGTTTTACATTGAATCCACTGTATTTCACGACATCCAGATTTTCATCAGAACGGTTATAAGTAGTTTCTAATTTGTCGTTAGTCTGGATAACCTCACCTTTTGTAGAAATGAATAATTCTTTGTTCACGCAATACAATCCCACAAACCATATTAACCAGTTTCGAATCATGTTTAATTAAAAACTATTAAACGTTAAATTAATTAATTAACTTTATTTAAACAGATTTAACAAACAATTTCTTTATAGTTCTTAAAAATTTATTATTTTATTCTTTACCTTATTTAACTGAAATCGCTTCCGGAGAAAAATGGAATCTAATTCTAATAACTTTAGTTCGAATGGATTTTCAATTTGAAGAATTTAACGAACGATAAATGTTGCGATATTCGAATTTTGGCAAAACACAATATATAATTCTTAGCACTTGAACGGATTGTGATTTTATTCTAATTCACTTATGATACAGTTTAAAACATTAGAGATATTATCCGACATCACATTGGACACTGCTACAAACAGTTTGATTCTTACAGTATTTGCAACAGACACATTTACATTGTAAATCTTTCACCACGAAATATCCAGAACTAATGTTTCTTCTTGAAAGTTGTTCTTCAAAAGACTTCCTATCTGTTTATGAAATGTGAGAACTGAACATTTATGATCTATCTCTTTTTTCTAAGTGTTGAGAAGAGCCACGATCAGTTTTCTTCTGAACTGAAGGAGATTTCAGTTGATGTTGCCTTGAGCGATTTGGTATAGCCTCCACGCATCGATGACTGACACGTCAATAAAGTTGAGGAATAAGGCGACCACCATTGCTTTCCACTTATATAAATACTGTAGATACAGAGTGGTGCAGTAAAGTGAAAAAGGATTGCATATAGAGGTATGATTCCTTTGACGTTTTTTGCTTCTATGGGCATAGTTTACAGTTCTGTTAAGGTACTTTCTTAATTCTAATACCCACTCACCAGTAGCCGAGGGTATGAGACTACCGAACTAGTAGTTAGTTATTAATGGGTTCAAAGATAACAAACGGGCATAGCGTTGTACGGTTCGGAGACGTGGACACTCCGAACAGCAGAGAAAGAAAACTGGAGGCCTTTGAGATGTGTTGGCGAAGAATGATGCGAGTGTCGTGGACGGAGAGAAAGAGGAATGAGGACGTCCTGAAAGAGGCAACAGAGAAGAGACAGATTTTGAGAACGATAGAGAAAAGGAGAAATGATATGATTGGTCTCCTAATTCGACACTCCGAATGGATGAATGTTTTATTGGAAGGAAAGATAGAAGGCAAAAGGGGATGCGGAAGACCCAGAGTGGAATATCTCGATGGGTTATTCTGGAAAAGGCCTTATCAAAGGGTAAAATAACTGAGCGAAGAGAGACGTTACAAGATATACTTCCATGTTTGCCCACCAACAACTGGTTGAGCAGAGAGAGAGAGAGAGAGAACGTAAAAGAAATTATTCTTACTGTTTTAGAAGATTTTTTTATTTAAAAAATCATACGAATTCTTTCGGTTAGCAACTCGATAACGTGCGGAGCCATCACAACCTGTCTAACACGGATCGCTTTTTAAATATTAATAGTAGAGCAGTATTAATTAGTAGTGGTTGATCATCCTCTCTTCATCCATTCTTCTGGGAGGAGGTCAACAACTACTTTTCGTCGAGTTACTTCAACTCCCTTCTGTAACGACCCGAATTTCTATCGGATCAGCGGTATGTTGGCATTGAAATTGGAAAATCCAGAATACGACGTTTACTTTTTACGTGGTGCTTTTGTTTAATATTCGTTATATTATAGTTTGATTTATATAACTACAAAGATTATCTTACGTAAGAGTTTATCACACTTAATTAATGACCCAATCTAACACAGTATACAGATTCTTTACTCTTCTAGTGTACACAATTTAAAGAATTTTTGAAATGTGTTAGATTGGCACAATATTTACGTTTGTAAATATAAATAAAATTCTATAATATTATATAATAGAAGGATTAGATTAGATGTACGAAATAATCTAATAATTTTAATGCTTTTACTTATTTTTTCCGAATGTCGGGCTTACCTAGTTTACTATAAAATGGAGGAAGCTTGAAAAAGGTGGGAGATCTCCGATATCTCCCATCTTTTCGAACTTCAACCATAAAATTTCATACCATTAACTCGTACTTTTCTAGGTTTAGAAGTCTCAAAACGTGAAAACTTGCAAAAATCTCGGTGGATCAAATTTTACACGATTCCAATTCTTTCTCTTGTTATGAAGGTTTATTCATAGCAGCCAGGAAAATAACAAAAAATTATTAAAATTAAACCATTATAATTGTAAAAAAGTTCACAATAAGTCTATATCTGGTCACCAGTAGCCGAGTGGATAAAAGAGCTAAACACTGGTAGCAGGTGCAGACCCTTTGACCAAAGACCATGTGGAGTTTTTTCGGGTTTTATCCACGTAAATAGGAAGCAATCCCTTATTGAAACTACTCTAGAGAGGCAGATTCTTTAAAAATTAATTATTTTAATAAATTGTTAAATATTTAATAATGCAAGTAAATTAAACTTTGTGCAACTGTTTTGTTTACTTTAACAATATATTATTTATCAAATTATACATTAATTAGTTGATTTCCGTGAACTATTTTTGTTAAAATTGGATTTGATATTATTTGAAAATAGTAAATATCATCTTAAATTTATGAAAACAAAATGAAGATTTAATTATCTTTATTTGTTTAAGTAATATTTACATAAATTATCGATTTTAATTATTTAAGTCTGGAAACATTATTGAACAAATATAAATTTACTTTGTGTTCAATTAAAGATAACAAGTTTGTATTTCGTGTGGATAATTGATAATTAAAATCTGAATAATAGAACTGATATTTATTTTTACTGTTCTTTTTGAATAAACTTAAATCTTTACATAAAAACAATATGAATTATGTGAAGATCCAAATCCAGACTTTCCGTGTGTTTATATAATTTCATCATAAGATCACATCGTAGTCATACTTTCATTCCACGGTGTCATAAGATCACAGTGTAGCTATACTTTCATTCAATAACTGTCAACTTTTACATCTGGGAGCTAAACATCTGCTAAGTTCTCAGACTTAATAACGACGCTTTCTCATCACCTTTCGACCTAGTATCGCGATTTTAACAGTTCAACATTAGACAACAACAACAAAGTGAGCAGTCGTCGCCCGTCTTTCGAACGAGAAGTTGTCACTCGTATTTTTGTCCTAAGTGTCTCCATATTCGGATATCTGTGAATATATCATTTTATTCTACGTGTTATATCCTACTAAAATATCATCGAAACCCATCGTAACATTGTCGAACACCTTTGCGATACTTTACGTTCTATCATTCTTACGGATACTTCCTCTACCGGATACAAGAACTGACATCCCGAACTTTCTTTCCTTCACCCAGAACGCTCGAGAATCTCAATCAAGACAGCAAAAACAAAAGGTATTTATCGACATGCGCAACTTATGTAAACTCTCTCTCTTATCGGAAAAGCCAAAACGGAATATCCTAATATCTAATCCCTATCGTAGATATGTATCTAACAGCAGCCCGAATGTATAGCTTATCGTTAACCATTAAACAGTTGTTACGTTAAAATGTCACTTCCGGTGCTCTGCCTCTCCTTCTATCTCGACTCTGATCGCTCACACACGTGACCGCTCACACGCCCGAACGAAACGGTTTCTGTGTCTAGCCGTGAAGACCCAGTGGTGTCAGTCCTGACGAAACTTGTCATTGCGATCTTCACCGACGCGATGTCGACCCTTCGGTCACGTGGTGCCGAAGACCAGGGAGGCCCTTCGGCATTGTCACAATTATATAAATATGTATAAAAAGCTTAATTATGGAATTATTAATTAACAATTCATTCTATTAATTATGTTGCTCAGAACATAAGTGAATAACTTTAGTTTTTGGTAAAACAGTTTCATTATTATCTTACGGAGAATAAAATCGTACTTTTCAAAAGTATTCTTGGTTTATATCATTGTTATTCAGTCACTAGTTTGTTATAGGCTATATAAACTGGAGAATCTCTATTTGAGCTACATGTAGCTGTTTTGTTACGACAGAACATAATCATCTTTCTTTGCAATCGTCTTTACCTTTTATTACCTGAACTTTTCCACGGATAATAGTATTCACCAGCGGTTTTCTTCTTCTTATATCTTCGTAGTATTTCAACTTTAAAGTATAGTTCATCATAACACTGGTAGTTAGTCCCTGAGCACATTGCCGTATCCCGTCAAAAATCCAAACCACATTAAGGTGAGCCTTAATGTGAGAAAGGCTCACCGTAACTTACCGAAACAATTTTATTTTTCGATTTATCCATAAGTTATTCCCATTTCATAACTTGGAATTCTTTCATCTGGTTAAATTTTTATGAATTTCATCTTGACTTTTGTTAGTAAAATATGGCTGAATCTTTTCCTGTGTTAATAGACTCTTCCGATAGAAAAGACTACCAAAATTAAAAATTGATTACGCATATCCGATTACTAACTTAAAAATCGTTGTATGTAAATTGAAATGTAAATGAAAATTTTAATTTATAAAGAAATGAAAGATATTAATAATTAAAATAAAGCTCGATTTTTTTAATAATAAATCACTTTTATACTTCTTAATATAAACGTTTTCGGGTATAAAGTTGGTCTAAGTTCTTGGATATAGCTTCTAGTGTGCAGCAAAGTGATGCCATATTGCCTCACGTTACAAGCAAGAACTTAAATCCAGCGTACATCTCGTCATCAGTAATACAAATAGGGTCATTTTAAATTCGGAATATTGTTACTGATTGCTCGAAGTATGCTTTAAAGTTATCAGTATCAATTTAGTAAATTACATAATGGAGCCTGGTTAACTCGAAACAGGATAACTCAAAGTCATTTTTACCAAATTGGATTGCTTTCATTCGTTCTATTAATGTTGTTTTTGAAACTGAAAATGTCGAACCTGTCTGTCGTTGAATCATATTGTTCACAGGAACTTTATCTATTGCCATTTTCATGCCAACTTTGGTTCATTTTACTTTCCTCACTTTCCAATTTCTGCCATTTCTCTCTAAATTGAGAATAAAGAACAATGACGATGATATTCTTCCTCGTATATTTATAGAATTCTGCTACTTAGCTCTAGTAGCGAAAAACTAATAATGGTCAGTATTGTAAGATGATCGGTACTGTATGACTCTCCCCTATACAACTCATTATAAAGCAATTAATTACTGCATAAATATGGGATTCCCACCGCACAATTCAAAATTCCCATTACACATTTTGTGTCCAGTTACACCCTTTGGTCGTGATTTGAGTACAAATTGTACACATATGACAACAATGTCTGCATGTCTTTTCATTTTTTGTGTTAGCATTTTATCTGTCATTGGGGATTTGAAAGGAATAAAGACATTTTAATCGGTTTAAAGTATGTATGTAATATACTAAAAATCCTCAAATATCGCTCACATCTGTACACAAAATAACACTCGGAAAAATGATATGTTATAAGAAAAAATTCAGAATTAAATTGGAATTTCGCCAGGTAAAAATAATTACATACAGATATCAATTAATTCTTAATTTTCAACGGCATCATCAATGAAGATGCTTATAAACGAATGTCGTACTCTCACCATATGATACATTTCTCTTTGGGATTCATTTTCGATCCCGATTCACAATTGAAAGCTTCAGAAAACTCTTTCATATTGGATAAGCTACCGATCACCCTAAATAAAATATTCGGTAAAATTAAAAATAATTAATTTAAAATGAATTATTTAACGAAAATGATCTTAAATGATGATTATTACCTGAACTTTTCTGCAGAATGTTCATTATCTTTGTAAATGTAAGCATCCACCCACGATGGAAAGCTAGAACACCACGACTAAAATAATAATAAAAATTGCATTAAGCATTCTTCTTTAAATTATTAAATGTATAATTAATAAATTTCGAAAAATTACTCCAGCAAAAGATATAAAGAACAGTTGCTCCGGGCTATACTTTTCTAAACCAGGAAGACGTTTCTCTTTGCCATGATCCTTCACCCATTTTTGATAACCCTGGTTTACGTTTAATAATAAATGTTTATAAGTTTTATTAATAACTTAAATTCTGATTTAATTAAATTTATAACTCGTATTATATTAATACAAACGATTTTTATGAGTAACCTTATTACCAAATAAGCTTGACGTATTCCGCCATTATCAGCTATATTTTCAGATAAAGTTCTCTTTCCATCAACCTAAAATGTAATAAAATAAATGTGTATATATATTTTAAAATAATGTATAAAGTATAAATCTATCATAATAGAATAAAAAAAATGCTACATTGATTACAGGACATTCAAATTAAATACTCCATTGAACTGACAATATATGTACATAAAAAAAACACGTCTTTCAGCATCTTTGTATATACTGTATATTATTATATATTCTTTCTGCCTGCAATAGGTATTAAAAATGTCTTTTGTCCCAGTCAGTCATTCGGAGGCCCCTTGTTAATATGTATTTATCCCATTCTTTTCTCTAATTAATATATAAGTATCCCACGTACAACACGGCATTTCTACAACACTATCTCGGTCTATAAAATAACTTGCTTTTAACGATTTTAAATGATATGGAGTAGCGTCATCCGACATTGGATTTTATAATAATAAAATTAATAACATTAGTAAATAATATAAAAATGTTAGTATTAATATTTATAGTAATAACACAATAATAAAGTATTACAATGTGTTACGACTTACCGCTGCTGAGAAAGACAACAAATGAAGCCAAAAACATTCAAACAAACAAACGTACTTTGGTTATTATATTAATACAGTAAATACAACTTACATTTACGTCAAGGCCTTCGTAGGAATATGAGTTGTATTGTTCGATGAAACATTTAGATCTATCCTTGAATTCTTTTTTGGATTTCTCTGTCCACCAATTTTTCAGATTTCCATATTTATCTCTTAAACTTCCTGATTTAAGAATAATATTTAATTAAATCACAAATGAGAGACATTAATGCTTTTTCAACACAAAAAACTTTTATTCAGAGAAATACCTGATTCATCAAGTCCGTGAGTCATTTCGTGACCATAAACGAGTCCCATTCCTCCAAAATTCATAAATCTAATAATAATAATTTTATAATTATATTTGTTATTAAAATATAAAATTTACTTTTAATTAATTAAAATTTTACTAACTTGGATCGTTCCGCATTGTAAAATGGTAACTGTTGTATTCCGGCTGGAATTACTGGAAAGATTAATAATGTTAAAATATTAGGTTAAATTCATATTAAATATAGAAGTTAATTGATACTGTTAAAGATTATATATATATATATATATATATTCTTAAATACGATAAACTCACCCACAGCGTTGAAATCTGGAACGTAGAATGCATTTACTTGTGTTCCTCCCGCTTGCGCTATTTGTGGCCATCTTAAAAGCAGTTAAAACGTCAAAATAATATAAAATTTATAAAGTTTACAAATATATAAATTAAATATGAACAAATACAGAAAGTAAAATTTAAATTTACTTAGATCTATCGTTTGTTTGTCGATATAAATCAGTACTTTTCTTAAAAGCAAAACGCCGTAAATTTAACATGTTTTCGAAAGATATGTCGGTCATTTCAGGAAGCTATAAATAGAAGTGTCAGTTTATTAAATATTATATTATTTGTGTATTATATATTTTACTCTATTATTCATGAACATGGGCATCTTCGGAGGGAGCAAACAAAGCACTTCACCCCCCCCCCTGGGATCGACTAAAAATTCCACAAAGTAAAAGTGATTTCGATCACTTTGTCTGTCTTCTTGTATTGATGTGCAATACAGTCATACCCCGACTTACGCTACCCCAACTTACGCGAACCCGGAGTTACGCGATTTTCAAATCTCGTCGATTCGTCTTTTGTTTGAGCGCCATGCAATCCTTGATTACTCACTCTCCCCACACTATTGTTCGGCTTACATGTTCGGATGTGTCGCGCGGAATCGATGCATAGCTACAATTTATTTTGTGTAATTTATTTTTGTTTGTTATATCTACGGAGACTCGAGAGACTCTATGTGGTGATTTCTTGTAACCGTGAACGAACCAAAAGGCGAGATAAGATTAACGAGAACATTTATTAGCTTACATACATCCGACTTGGATTTTACACAAAAGGCATCTGCAATCGTAAACAATTGACG